TAATGCAAAACAGAAGGTGTCTTATTTTTGATTGGTGATAGCTTCCTGGGACAACCTGGGAGGTTAAAGCAAGAAATGTTGGGATTAATTAGTGTAGCTGTAACTACCTACCTTGGCTGTGTAGATCATTACAGAATAGAAACAGTAGTAGTTTTTCACTTTAGGTCTGGATTAAGATGTTTTTAATGATATACCTGCAAAGTGGCTCTGTCCTATAACTGTAGAAAATAAAAAACCTAATTTGCGGGGTTTTCCCTAAGAAAAAGGTTGTGCCTTAAATGGGGCATTGATGTTACTAAAAACATTTTTTAATAAATAGAGAAAATGGCTCTTTCCCATTAAATTTTAAGTTCTTTTAATATTTCTTATATTGGAGTTGGGGAAAGTCGTTAAAATTAAGTAAATTATTTTTGCATAATGTAGCATTTGAGGTGAAGTACATTTTTCTAAGAACTGGATTATGATGTATATAAATCTGAAATGATGTTCCATCATTTAGTTCTTAATTAAATGTAAGACCGGGATAGATTAAATTTTACAAATTTTACTTTTAAATAAATCATTTCGGACTACTTTATCTTTTCTAGTCCTGTGGGGTCATTTTGGTTTAAAAAGAATAGCTGTTAGTGGGGGCAGTTTGGTGGTCTATTGGCTAAGTAATACTGTGTTGTGACATTTTAATAGAGCTCCTACTGTAACCCTGACCAGCCACAGTTGAGGGCTGCGTCATCACGGTGAAGGACGCTCTGCAGTGACATGACTTTGGGGGCTGATGTGTGTACATGGCTCCTTTTATCTTATCAAAGCCTGCCAGGTATATGTACTCTGACTTAGCATTGACAAAGGATTGTTTTTAACTATTTTTTGAGGTGGGTGGTAAATTAATAGAAGAAATGAGATGATTTTCTTTAAGGTAATACAAGGCAAACTGAAATTAAGGATGATGATTAATGCTAAAACAGCTGATTATATACCACCATTGCGATCATTCCCTAAAGTGTTATCTAATGTACCTGTGTAAAGTGCAAAAGCAAAGGTTGTGATGTTTTGTCAGTATATTTAATTAAATTATTTAAAAGTATAAAACAATGGTACACTTGCCATTCTGGAGAGTCTTGTTTCTCCATTTTTTAAAATATCTCTTAACTAGGAAAGAAACACTAAGTTAACACGAGATACTGTAGTGATAGACTGCAGCACTATTGGGTGTGCACTTCACAGTGCTGCCTGGAGTAGCTGTGTCTGCATTGCCCCAACTGTCACTTTCCTGATCTTCTAAACTTTTCTTTTCATTCTCACTTCCTGTTTGTTATTCCATTTCTTAAAATGGTTAATGGTGAGAGAATTTACAGTGTTTTACCATGGAATACTTTAACATATTTAAAGCCATGGAAGAAATAAGCCGTTTCTTGTTGCAGAGATGCCACATTTCTTCAGCAGGCTGTGATCCGCCAACCCACTCCACCAAACTGCAGTCGAGCCCATTGTCAACAAGACTGCATTGGGAAGACAGTTCTCTAGTCATGGCCTTCGAAGAGTACTTTGTGCCTCACCACACCACTTTCATAAACGCTGTTAGTTCACTTGCTAAGGAGACAGACAGAGATGTCTTTGATGTGTGTGTGTGTGTGTGTGTGTGTGTGTGTGTGTGTTTTCACTATATTCCCAATACCTAGTGTCTTGCACAAATTAGGTCCAGATTGTGTGTTGAATTGAACTAAAGGGCCACTAATAGTGTTAGCATGCTTCATGCCTCAGTAGTATGAGCTAGTTGTTTCCTTTGCTGATTTTGTAATTACCACTCGTCACACACTATTTTTTTTTCCTTTTAAGTTTGGCCTTTCCTCTAGATACTACCCCATGGTCAATTAACTGTATAAAATGTGATTGCTTCTGGTGACATAATTATCCCAAACCCTGTCCTGGATATACTTTGACAAGTGAAATTTGAATTCCTTGAATAAATTGGTTATGTCTGAAAAGTTGGTATGCTATGTCTGTTTTTCTATTAACATTTTACCTCTATTTGTTTAATGTATAATTCTGTAGCATTAAGAACATCTACAATATCCTGCATGGACTATGGACTGACAGCTGGGGAACCTTCACGGGACTTTCTGAATATGGGTGACAATTATGTGGCCTGATCTGTTTGGGGAACAACTGGCAGTAGCACCAGGAACTATCCCACGTGTACGAACTGGCTTTTTGAAGCCCAGTATCTATGGTGGGATACCTTACTCACCCTTAATACTACGGTAAAGAACTTGATCCTGCCTCAACTTGATATGCCAGACTTTGCTGACTCCCCAAACCTTCTCTGAGGAGTCGATAGGTGGAAAGGGGGGAGTTAGGGAACAAGAAGGAGGGAGTGGGAACTGGGGTTGGTACAGAAAATGAAAAGTAATTTTTTTTAAAATAAAGTAGATTCAATACTCTTTTACCCTATCAGTTCTATGTCTTCCCTTTTTCTTTTCAGGATAAGATCCCCGAATCTAATACCTTCTTCAGCTTTTCTTTTTCCTGACCATTACCAATAACAATTGACCCTATGAAGGACCAAAAACCACTCACCCTACCTCTTGGGAATGTGGGCGCCATGTTATCTGGACTGCTTGCTGTCTGAGGGGCAACAGAATCTTTAGGGAACCCTAAGAAATTTAAGATAATGGTCAAGTCCTGGGAGAGCCAGCCATTGTTTAGTCGTTGTGTGATGGGAAAATGTAGGGTTTATCTGAAGTCTGGATGGAGTAGTCTGTGAGGCTGGACTGCCTCAGACAGTAGCCTTGAAGCTCTTCTAGATGCAGAACTTTGAGGAAACTGCAACAGAGGTGTTCTGAGATGCCGAATCACCTGAGCCACACATTTTCATTGGTGTCTGGTCCCCTTGCTCTGAATACACTAATTTTCAAAGGTAGCATACATATCGACATTAACACAAGTATGGACTTCATTGCACTTGCCAGTCAAAGATTTTTTTTTTTAATGTTTGAGCAGGTAAAATATATGTCACTTGTAGTTTTCCTAGGTTTATGTCTTTAGCCAGGATTTTTAGGGGTCTTCCCCTCCCTGATAAAACCTGATCCTCTGACCTTGAAGAAATCCACAGCCTTTTCGTTTTCTGTGGAAACAAAAGCATAGCCTCTTACCTAAAGCAATACATTTTTACTTCCATTTTAAAGTTGGAGCATTTCTGAATTAGCTAGGCTAGTTTAGTCCCACAATTCAATATCTCTTGCCAATAAAACATGATACAGGATAAAGATACCATATGTATTTCCTATCTTTGTGTGGCTTTTCTTTCACTTTTTTCATTGAAATTAGAAACAATCTTATTTTACATATCAATCCCAGTTCCCTCTCCCTCCCATCCTCCCTTACCCCCACTAATCCCCCCCCACACATCCCACCCCTATCCACTCCTCAGAGAAACTGAAGAGGACATGATGTAGAGTTGGCCACCACACACACACAGGAGATTTATCTGAGGGAGCAAAAGTTAATTCTGTGTTTTTATTTTTCTCTTCTCCCTTTTATACAACCTAAGACAAATTTATATGCAAGACAAAAGTCACCTCACAATCACAAGTTACATACTTTCCAAAAACAAATCAAAATCTTTACACAGTAAGAAATCACATTATGATCACAAGTTACATGCTTTTCTTAGAAGTTAAACAGTTAAACATTTTCCTTTGCATTCTCTTTTTCCATCATAACATCTTTACCTCAAAGCAATGATTCTTTTATTATTGATTAACAAAGTATTAAGCAAGCCCGGTATATTTCAGTCAGTTCCTTTCTACCAGCTGCCAGCAGTTGGCAGTTACATTGTAGCAAGTTCTTATCCTTATCCTACAAAACCTTACTCAAGTGGTCTAGCTAACCATCTATTCTTTTTTTCTTTAAACACAATTGGGTCACTTAATTTCCTTTCATAATTTTGTTTTAGCAAAGTGCACACTGAAACCTGTGATTAAATCTGTAAACTACATGACCAAGGAACTCAAACCTACCCTTGGATGTAGGGACACAATTGCATCCTTTGACCATCAACCAGCTTTTCCACAGGCAAGATTCATGTTTCTATAATACATGAAACTTTCTATAATACATGAAACTTTCTTGTCTTCATTTTTCATCCTCTTTAGGTCTCACATGTAGCAAAAAGGAGGGTGTCTTTTAATCTTATTTGTCTTTTTTTTTTTTTTGTATCATTGGAGCAATTGGCAGAGCAACCTAATCCATTTCCCACATCATCTCCACTAACTTTCTTAACCACATGCATCTTTAAATCAAACCATTTCCCTAATCATCTGTCTTAACAACCTATAATCTTTAAATCATTGATCCAACTCAGAGATCTATAAACATCATCATTATAATCTGCAAGTAAATTGCCCAGCGAGGAGTGGGATTTTCCCATGA